GAGAATCATCTTAATCTTTCGTGATTATATCTACCCCGCTTTACATCAACCATAATGTCGGCTCTGGTCCACGACTCGCCCGACCGAGCCGTTACAGCCATTGAGCCTTTGACAGGAAGCGACAACTTCGCAACCTGGAAACGTCTCATGACCTCCTACCTCAAGGCAAGGCAGGTCTGGGATGTCGTGTCGGACGACCTTCAGCGTCCTGACTGCTCGTTCAAATACGCCAAACCCATCACGGCGGACATCCACCCTCTGGTGGAACCGCACCTGGTTGGGGCGGTGAGGCAACGAGCCATCGAAGCGCGCCTCGAAGTGGAGGTCCAGGCATTCGAGCGCCACCGTGAATGGTCGCGCCGCGAAGCCGAAGCCTACCACACCATCTTCCGGTACCTATCCCCCCAGATCAGTATCCATGTCGCGGGGCTGGAGACATCCCGCGACCTCTGGAATGAGCTCGAAGGGCGGTACCGGCGGATGGAACTTGCGACGTTCTGCGAGCTGTTCGCTCAGCTTCGTGAAACCACCGGCGAGCGCTGCGGCAGTGCCCGCGAATTTGTCGATCGTGTACGGATGCTAGTGCACCGATTGAATGCGATCGCCCCTGGATCGATCGGCGACAAAGCCCATATTGCGATTCTGCTCACGCAGATCGGACCAGAATACATCCTGATCGTGGATGCGATCCAAAATGATAAGGATCCCGTCAACCCAGCGACTATTGGCAACCGTCTAGCGAATGCTGAGCAGACGGTGCAGCGAAAGGACGCTGCGACGTTCCCGCAGCGAGTCCCCAGCGGAACAAGCAACCCTTCCATCAATACGGTGCAGAAGAACACCAAGAAAGGCAACTACTGCAAGAAGCGCGGCCATGTAGCTGCGGAGTGCTGGAAGAAGCAGCGCGAACAACAGCCGCCCAGGGACCATGCCCTGAAGGCTGAACGGAGTGTTTCCGGCTCACCAAGGAACAATCTACAAAACATACCATCAAGCCAGATGGAAGATCGGCAGGGCCCGCCGACTTCCAAGAGACCGCGGATCAATATCGTGAGGGCGAGGGTGACGACCCTTTATACCCACGCACCGCAACCCCGGTGGATCCTGGACTCGGCCGCCACCAGCCACATCTGCTGGGACCGCCGCTGCTTCAGCAGTCTTCGGCCCCATCGCGAGATGTTGGACACGGCGGGCGATCCAGTGGAAGCCGAAGGGATTGGTACGGTGAAGCTCACGCTCCGGGGGAAGTTCAACCAACCCCTGGTGTTAAAGAATGTATACTTCGCGCCACGCGTTGGGATGAACCTGATCAGCGTGCCGAAGCTGTTGCGAGACCGCTATTCGGTGGTGGCGCACCCGCAAAACGTCTTTGTGCAACGCCGAGGACGGACGGTGGGGACTGCCTACCATGCGGAGGAGGATCTACTGATCCTGCGGTGCCATGTGAGCAAGAGATCCCGAGAGCGCATCCATCTGGCGAGGGCGCCGGCGACCCATGACCATGCAGATTCCCTGGAACCGCAGGCGGTGGCCATGGACGTCGACGACCCTCGAGAGTCAAGTGACGTAGAATGGACAGCGTCAACCTCTGAACTCGGTGGTGAAGCTCGGATACTCGAAGAAGATGCGGGCAAAGGAGTGGACCAGGCCTCCGAAGCGCTGTGGCACGCTCGGATGGGACATCTGAACCGGGGCGACTTGCGGGTGGTCCTCCGGCAGACCGGCACTCCGTACCGACCGCTGACGTCGGCGCAGCTGCAGGCAACGCCGCAGTGCCCGGCGTGCATGTCGGGTAAGCAGCATCAGAAGAGGAACTCCCGTGCACGACGGCCACGTCTGCATTCAACGAGAATTTTCGAACTGATTCATTCGGACATCATGGAGATGCCGGTCGCCAAATATGGCTCCAGGTACGTGATCACCTTTACTGACGACTATTCTCGAGGCTCGTGGGCATATGCCATGAGATGGAAGCATGAAGCGCTCCAGAAGTTCCAGAACTTCGAGGCCTGGGTGCACCGACAGTTCGGCGCCTGGATAAAAAGGTTCCTCACCGACAACGGGAGAGAATATTTGCCCATTGGAACACATCTCGAATCCCAGGGAGTTGAGTTTGACACCTCGCCGCCGTACTGCAAAGGGCAGAATGGTTTGGCCGAGCGTACCAATCGCACTATCCGGGAGCGGATCAACACGCTCCTGTCCGATGCGAACCTTCCTCCTTCCTGGTGGATCGAGCTGGTAGACACAGTCGTGTATCTGAAGCTGCGCGCTCCAGCTTCAATCCTTCGAAAAAAGACCCCGTACGAAATTATTTACGGGAAGCCGCCATCGCTGTTACATCTACGACGGATTGGCTCCCGTGCATGGGTCTTAATTCCAAAAGAGCACCGAGCAAAACTCGGACCGAGATCATCCGAGTGCCGACTGCTAGGCTATTGTGAACCGAACCAGTACAAGCTCTATGAAATCCATTCTGGAAAGACCGTTTTTTCCCGTGATGTCGAGTTCGATGAGAGGACCCCGGTGGCGCCACTCATCGAGGGGGAAACAGGCAATGACCTCCCGGACAACGCTCCTCCGTCACCGGTCTTTCCATCAATGCCAAGTTCAGCCAACGGGCTGCCAACACCACCTACATCGCCACTATCTCCGTCGAGTGAGCGAGACAAAACGCTATTTGAGCTTGGAGAAGAGACACCTCCCGTGGTCAATCCAAGCCAACAAGGAACCGAGTTGACGTCGGATCTTGGATATTCGATCTATGGTCGCAGACGAAGACCTTCACGGCGTCTCTTAGAATCTCCAGGCAAGGTGTACTCAGCCGGCATATTGAACACCGCACCGGCCAAACAGGTCGACCCGGCAACCTTTCGAGAAGCGGTGTCGGGCCCAGACCAGCTGGAATGGTGGGCCGCCATCCAGAAAGAATATGCGTCGCTTCTCGAACACGGAACATGGGAAAAGATCCCGCGAAAGGACCTTCCCGCCACAGATCATGTAATTGGCTGCAAATGGGTCTTCAAGACCAAGGCCAACGGAACGCGCAAAGCGCGATTGGTCATCAAAGGCTACCGGCAACAACACGGCATCGACTATCACGAAACGTTTGCTGCGGTGTCCCGGATGGACTCGGTCCGCTGCATCGTCGCCAGTGCCGTATTGCGCGGATGGAAACTCCACCAATTCGATGCTGTCACTGCATTCCTGCATGGCGACGTTGACTCCTCCATTTACATGGATTTGCCCGAAGGCTTCGAAGAGCCAGGATATGTTTGTCGGCTTCGCCGCTCCCTGTATGGCCTCAAGCAGGCCCCGCGGATTTGGTATCAATGCGTCCACCGCGTCCTGGCCGCCCACGGCTTCACCATGGCCCAATCGGACAACTGTGTATTCTACAAATCCAATTGCGTGGCCTGTGTTTACGTAGATGACTTTCTCATTGCTGCAGCAAACTCGCATGAGATAGAACAGGTGCAACGAGCATTGCAAGCAGAATTCCAATTGAATGACCTGGGGACGCCACGCTCGTTCCTCGGGATCCAGTTCGACTATCACGTCAATGGGTCCGTATCCATTCACCAACACCAGTACATCCAGAAGGTACTCTCAGACTTTGGCATGGAAACTTGTCAGCCGAAGTCTACGCCGATGAATCCCAAGCAAATCCTGAATCATCGTCCAGACGAGGCACTTCTGGACGAGGAAGCAAAATCTCGTTATGCGACTGCCATCGGTTCGTTGATGTATCTGATGGTTGGCACGCGACCGGATATTGCGTTTGCACTGGGCATGTTGAGTCGCTTCACGTCTCAGCCGCAATCTCACCATCAAGTTGCTCTGCAGCGATTGCTTCGCTACATCCAAGCCACGCAGTCTCATCGTATCACCTACCGCAGTGGACAGCTAATCGGGTATACAGACGCCGACTTCGGGGGCTCTGTCGTCACTGACGGTGCATACTCGACGTCTGGCTATGTATTCCAGCTTGCAGGCGCGCCAGTTTCCTGGTCGTCCAAGAGACAGGGGAAGTGGCCACGTCTACAACACATGCCGAATACATCGGACAATACAATGCCATTCTGCATCTGCAGTGGCTCCGCACCTTTCTAGCCGAAACACAACTGTATCGGTCTCCGGTCACTAACATCATGGCTGACAACCAGTCCGCCATTGCGCTTTCTCGCAATCCCGAGTTCCACAAACGGACGAAGCACTTCAATGTGAAATTTCACTATCAGCGAGCCGTGCTGGATGCAGGCGAGATTGAGCTTCAATATATTCCAACTGGGGAACAGGCCGCGGATGGTCTCACCAAGCCATTGGGACCTACGGCCTTTGCCAAGTTTTGTAGTCTCTTAGGCGTCAATGCTCCAGAGATCTCGAGACAAACCGCGTGACGGCGCAGGCGCTCTTTCCACTTTATTTTCCCAACATGGGTTTTGAGTGGTTTTACTGAGGCCTGAATGCTCTGCGCGAGTCCAGTATCGCCCTGCTAGCAAAGCGATCCTGAGGGGGAATGTTGTGATATGAGGCTGGTGCAGATCAGGAATCAAGCCGAACCATCGGAATTAATCCCGAAGTATGTATACGAAGAACCAAGTTGATTGGAAATCAACTTGATCTTCTCGCTGTATATATAGCCTCATGTTTCCCTCTGAATAAATAACACAATTCATACCTCTGAAATACAACAGGTTCAACCGTGGGGAACGTGCTAAAGACCATCGCAAGAACCAACCACAACATGGCGGCGATGTTCACGACGGGCCCCCACCGGTTCCCAAGATTAAACGGGCCCGATCCAAGCCCTCGGATGATTGGACTCGAGGTACGGCGGCCATAGAGCAGCATAAAGAGAATTGGTGAAAAGTAAGAAGCATACATTCCCAGGATGGCCATGGACAGAACGGCGTTGAATGCAGTGGAGCTACCAAGGTAGATCAGTCCGAGCAGCATCTACAAAAAGGACACGAGTAGCACCATGCGGACCGGAACCTTCAAAGTTGGGTTGACTGCTGACGGAATTCCGATGCTGGCAAACCGTTGTCCCGAGCGAAGGCCCACGCCGTGCGGCTTGTGGAGGTCACGCCGGCTGCGTTTGCGGCTAGCGCGACCAGGCTAATGCACAGAGCAAGAATCGATGCCCCGGCTGGTGATCCAGTGACGTTGAGGAAGAGCTGCATGAACGGGAAGCCGACCTTTGACTGCAGAAGACCGTTGAGATCTCCCAGCGCGAACAGTAGGACGATGGTGTATACTAGACCGATGAGTCCGTTGATCGCAACGCTTCCGATCATAGCCAAGGGGACATTTCGAGATGGCTTAGGAAGTTCTTCGCTCAGGTGACAAGCTGCATCATACCTGTTAAGGTACACGAGTGTCAGCGGCCTATTGGACTCTAGGGAAATGGGAATCATACCCGAGAAAGGGATATACGGTGCTCAACAAACCAACGAGCCAGGAGACCCCGTCATTGGACCATCCGCTGCTATTGGAAAATTCAGTGAAGACATATGTTGCAGTATGCTTCGATGACATCGAGCCAAGGACTGCAACAATGACGATAAAACCTACCACATGCAGGACTCCTGTGGTCCATATTAGCTTGTTCTTGGATTTATCTCGCGGAGCTTCTCGACAGCGGGTGGCTTACCTGCGATGGGATTGGTATGTGGTAGAATCTTAAATCCCCACACATTCACCGCAGTAGAATACGCCAGGATCGCCCAGTAGAACAGCATGCCCTGCCATCGCAGTGGCACATATGTATCGAGATGGTTGAGGGTAATGAGTGCCTGCAGCTGGAGCCCAGCCGCGAAAGCAGCGGAAGCTGAAAGGACGAGCTGTCCACTGATGGAGATCCAACCAGTGAACCAGGACGCAGTGGATCGATAGGACGGTGGACTGAGACAATGTACCCAATGATATTGTCCTAGCTGTATATCAACAAAAGACCGACAGCAGTGGAGAATGAATCGGCAGGCATACCTCCCGCAGTGGGAAAGATTGAGGCAATTTCTCCGAGAGAAAGCACAATAAAAACCGTTCCGATCAGGGCAATCAGGCTGTACAATAGGAAATAAAAAAAGGTCGTTAGAAAAAGAAATGCAGGTACTCGTGGTGTAGGGGGGTCTCTCACTAATTATAAAACAGACAGGGGGCGCCACCGTTAGTCAAGGCCGTCGCAACGACGGATGAAAGAGCCTCCCAGGTGGCCATCAATGATATCTGTAAGCATACAATGGACCAAAGTGAAAACTCCCGGCGGAGCTCTTGCACTTTATCCGGCGTAATTGGCCTTCCTACGAAGAAAATCCAGAGCAAGGATTCGATAACTTCCTCGAATGGTGTGTTGATGTTGTGGGAGCGAGGGGGAAGAGCGCGGAGGGGCATTTTCGACACTCTGGCCTTGTTGTAGAGATCAATTGAAAGCTAGTGTCCCTAAGTCCTCAACTAAGTTGACATGATCCTTTCAAGCTCTGAGTCTAATTGAGGTGATAGCTAAAATATTTCACATATTTCACTCCTTAATTCGACACTAGATTCCGCATGAACATTGATAGACCTATGATCTCCTCAGAATAAACAGCGTGCTCTATCGGATACAAATTGAAGGTGAGTCATAGATCGTTGTCCAGTGACGAAGTAACCTATCCAGCTCTGAGTCGTCTATTTCCTCATCTAGTGAATTAATGGAATTTCCCCCTGCTTCCAACTCATATACCGACTGCCTTGAGACTAGACCGACATCCTGGGTAGCACACAAGCTCATGGGCTGATTTGCTCCCGAGATGCTATTTTGCTTTGCCTCCATCCGAATCGCCTTCTCTCGGCGGAGCCAAGGGCAACAAACCAGGTATAACGGTGACCAATAAGAAATGTTGGCCAATCTAGGGTTATGTGATTAGACCGTTTCGGGGCACGATTGGTCTTTGCATTGATCAGAGCCGCTCATTTTTGAAGGTTTAACCTCGTGGGGCTGTGGTTCCTCTGAACGGGAGGGGGCATTATCACTTCTGTAGGGAGTTTCAGGGCCGTCGGTTGCATTTCTCAAGGCGAAGTTTAAATCCAAAGATGACGATGATGAGCTTCAGCATTGTCAGCCAACGACTGTTCTTAATGGACGCAGTAGGAGAGAAATGAATGTATGACATACCAGTGAGGATCGTGTTCGGAAACTGAGTCTGTCAGGCGGTCTCCCTGAAAATCATCTCTTTTGTAGACTGCGACACGTTCGTCGACTAACTGCTTAATAATTTGGCGTTGGCGGGTAGAGGATCTGGAGAGTCACCCGCGGGTGAGTGCCTGGTCTAAAGGCGAATATAGACTTGGCATATTGCATTGAAGTTTCGCGGGAATCGCGCTCTCCTCCGGGTTGCAGGCCCGCAACCGAGACCGTCCCTCCGCACGTTCGTATTAAGCAACGGCTCCGTGTCGTATCGGTTCATCTGCAATATCGTGCCGTGTTACATATCCTCCCATTGGATAGCTAACCCTGATGATCTCTAAATGTCAGAGCTACTAGAGGCGATGACTATCAAGATGGAATATATAAAGATTGACCGTTTGCTCCGCGAAGAGGTCTCATCATAAGGATCACAGAGAATTCTCACAGACAAAGAAGTTTTTAAAGTCACCTCAGGGTCCAATATGATCCCCAAAACAAACAAGAATTTGGAGGTAATTGCCAAGGCTCGAGGACTCCAAAACATTTGCTCGGGAGAAGAATACGAGCAAATGATAAGTGGCTGCTTGTATGTTACTTCCTTTTGCTGCCTTCGTTTAACATCTAACTATTGCCTCGACTTCGAGCGTAGATATACCCCCCTAGCACCAGAGCTCATAGAGGGTCGATCACGAGCAAGACAGCTCACTGGAGAGTTTACCGCATTTCTTTACGGAGATTTCACTTCAAGAAAGACCGCTCACCAGAGAGAACTCGAACTCGTCCTCAAAAAACTCTTCGGTTGCACAGGGCAAAGCATCTACATTGAACCTCCTCTCTTTGTCGACTATGGATGTAACATCAGTATAGGCGAGAACTTTTATGCCAACTTCCAGTACGTGCCCTAACCCGATTGGGAACGAGTTATTTAAGACTCCGTCTCTTTAGCCTTACCATTCTTGACTGTGGATTGGTGGTGATTGGGAACAATGTGGAAATCGGCCCGAATGTCAGTATCATCACTGGAGAGCACCACACCATGATCGAAGAGAGAAGAGCTAATCGAGGATATGAATTTGCACGGGCCGTCTTTATTGGAGATGACTGCTGGATCGGTGCTGGTGCTATCATTTTAGCCGGTGTGACGGTTGGCTCGGGCTGCACGATCGGTGCCGGCTCGGTCGTGAAGGCAAATATTCCGCCTTTTAGTCTTGCGGTTGGAGTTCCTGCACAGGTGATTCGTTCAATCCAACAAGATACAACTGTCAAGGACATAGCTTGAGAGATTCAATTATCGTTCGGCTTTTCAGCTCTCTTTCCGATCATCTTGCAAGATGTGGCTTGTTGCGTAACCGGAACCCGTGCACTCGCGTGTGCCATTGAGCTGATTGTGAGCCACCCAGCCAGGTGTGAAGCATTCCTGCTCTTTAGAATCTTGTGGTTTAGAAAAAGGATGGGTCTGTTCATTCAAAACCTTCATCATGTTTTTCCATAAAGTGTAGCGGTGGTATCTTCCGTGCAAATGGTGGTGAATTAGCAACGACATTACTCTGGCGGCATCCTTGACCACCTCTTTTGCCATTGGATTTTCACCACTGTACCTTTAGCTCCTGATGGAAAATGAAGCCCCTGATGGAAAATGATTTTCTTAAAACAAAAAGAAGGTGTTAAAGAGGGGGTGTTCACGAGAGTGCGGGCTTGAATGAGACCCAACGGAAATTTTCACAAGCATTCCACCACCGAGCCTTCCGCGCAAGTACAACACTCAAAAATAAAAGGTTGCAGAGGAAAGTAAGTCTGTGTGCGACAGGAGCCCGTAGCACGCCTTTAAACACGGAAAGATGCCAGGAAACACTCACTATACTGTATTATAACGTCCAAAATCTTGATCTTTACTGGCGAGAATCACGGGAAACTCCAAAGGCCTTTGTTGAGAGGCGAGAAAGTTAGATGTTAATTGATACAGCATGGAGGCAAAGGCTGGTTATTCCCCGGGGAGATTCTGTTGAGTGACCTCGAATCATCACAAGCAGGACTGAATTCCGGTTCTTGTTGACAGTGATATTCTTCGGTAGATAAGCTGCCCACTAAATTTTACTGGTGCTTGAGGAAATTGACGGTGCAAACAGATAGCAACAATCTAATCTTGCGACACGAGCAAAGGGTACGGTAGTTGACCTAGTAGGGTCTCCCGCGGGTGATCGGTAGCTATCGTGAGTGAAAAATGAGCTTTGAGGTTCTTGTCTTCTTCTGGAAGTATTTAGATCGGCTTTCTTCGCTTCAATCTGACAACTCGGTCTCCCCTCCCATACGGTATCTTGAGCCGCCGCAATAATTTCAATGGGGACAACACTACTTCAGGCGAAGTGGACAAATCACAGGCGACCATGTTGCTATGGCTTTTCAATAATATTTATCCATTCAGAAAGCAGAATCTTTACTCCTTGTCGACAGCGGATGAAGATGTTTTACAATTATAAGTGAACCTTTCACAGAATGAAAAGTAAGTTCTTATAATATCGAAGATGTGCAAGACAAGGGAAGACCTCACTCGTATCAACTTGATGAAGCCTAATCTATTATTAATAGATGAAGGGCATCATAAAAAGGACCCTTGTAGGCCTGGCTATTAAACAATTGAAAGCTATGTCTGATCTACTAGGCATAGCGATGAAACATCCATTGGTTGAACAGTGCAGTGAGTACACCTTATCGACGACAAGAAGAGATTCAATTTTCGCCATCAACAGGCGGGCCTGGAATACGGCCATTGCGGAAGAGATCCACGAATATGTGATGGTCTCGCCGCGTCTGGGCACTGTACTCATGCGCAAATGCAACAAGGACATCCACAAAGCGGCCCTCATCGGTCATTATAGCTTCATCAATGGCTTTCTCAGGAGAAAATGGCACCAGTTTTGAGTATCTGGCATTATCGTCTCCAGCCCCGTGCATCATGGCAGTGGCCGTACCCAGGTCAGCAACCACTGCCGCCATCTCTTCCAGGTCGTTGATATCGGACCAGTCCAGGTCCACCGCGTAAGGGGAGACCTCTGCGACCAGCTGACCTACGCCATCTACTCTCAGTCCATCCGAGCCATGCGTCCGCTTGCGCCTGCAGAGCGCGCTGCGAGATGACAGTACGGTGACCCTCGTGGTGGAAGTAGGCGCTGGGTGCGTTCTCGACGTGCCGGGAGACCGCTGCAGCCGCGGACTGCTTCATGTAGATCACCATATCATTCTCCAGCGCCTCGCTCTTGCCCTCCAATAAGAAATTGAATGATGGGAGACCTGCAGAGCCAATACCCACACCTCGACGACCCACTACATCCTTGATGCGGTACATGGTGGCACAGTCATCCCTTGACTTGGGAAGTGTCTCGAGATAGCGGTTGAAATGCATCCTCGACTTTCTCTCGTGTGACAGAGTCCAGCTCAATGGAGCCACCGCCTAAGGTAAAGCGCCGTTCGGAATCATGGATTTCCGTCATCGAACGGAGCAAATCGACACGTGTTTGCCTACGGGCTGAGCGTAAGGCATCCAGTAAAGGACCCTTGGCGGTATCTAGGGTAAAGCGAGGCACCTCATGTTGGTTTGTGCAAGTGGCTAGGGAATGAATCCGCTCGCGGTAAGCTGCGGTGTATACCTTCACGACTCGGGTGATCTGCTGGTCACTGAGAGCTTTCGTGTAACCGATTAGGGCGATTGAGGCTACAAAGCGCCCGATGTCCCAGATGAAGGGGCCAACATAGGCCTCGTCAAAATCGTTCACGTTGAAGATGAGACGACCCTGAGAATCCATGTAGGTGCCGAAGTTCTCTGCGTGCAAATCGCCATGGATCCAGATTCGCTTTGTTTTATCATCTAAGAAGGGGCCGATATGCTGCTCCTGCTCGATGTCGTGGTAGAAGAGACAAGCACTACCACGATAGAAGGCAAACGCCGAGGCAGCCATCTTGCGAAATTTGACCTGGAATGCAGCAGGGTCCCTGGCGAGAAGGTCTCCAAATGTCTTGTTAAAAACATTGAGGATTTCTTGGCCACGCTGCTCGATGCTGGGTTTATCGATGGCCATTTTAGAGATATTACTTTTGAAAGAAGGTCTCTTTAGTTATCACACAAAAAGATGAAAGGTAATTGAAGAAGATATGACTCAGAGAGAGAAGGCTTTATACAACATCAGACAAGTGGGACAGACCGCGCTCTGGGGCAGTGCAGACTTGCGTCATGTCGCCAATCTCTTGGCTAAACACGAACCTTCGTGGATTTTGGGGGTGTCAGGCATAGCTTACTACCTTATTGGTCTATTACCTACTACGTGGCCCAACGCACTCAATACACTACAGCAATAATGTTTATCTGCAGGTCTCGATTCGAGATTTCTATCTCTTCTGTCGCCAAGGAGGTGCTTGCATTATTGGTTACATGATGCATTACATTGGTTTTCTCACCGACATCTACTGATGAATGCCTCACTCAAGCTGAAAAATCTAGACCCTATTCTTATGGTTACTGAGGTCATCCCTGGCATTGAAATCTCCCCGTGGATCTTTTCAATGTTCCACAACTGTTAGGACAATCCCCGGAGGGCGTCCTGATACGATAGAGATACGAGTGAAGAATGTGAGACATGCCTGATATGGGTATGATCATATTCAGACTAATCGCTGGTCTTCCTAAGAAGATCCAGCTCCTCCTTTTGAGGGGATCCTCTGTGCGTATGCAAGCAGGTAAGCAAGGTGATGTATCAACAGGCGGCCCCGGTGGTGGATAGGCACCTCCTCCGCATTTCCTATACCTCACTGTACGGTTGGCGTAACACAGTGCGAAATGATGATTTCTACATATTAGATTCAATATGGTAATACATACGCCGGTCGGTCTTCTGTATGACTTTCTCTCGGCTCAAGCTTGATCGCGTACTCTTTAGCAATATTCTGTATCTGAGGTAGTGTCGCTATATGTAAGCTTAATATTCGATATATACATCCCTAGACCAGTGCGAACATACATAATTGGCGGTAAAATCGGGAACGAACCACCAGAATAACAGCGATAGAAAGCGTAATTCTTCTAAACATATTTTGTGTCGGCCTGATCGAATGAAAGACACTTGTGGAGCTCAAAACGCTGATCTTGCTGGATGCGTGCCCGGAAGAACGCCGGGTAATGATTATTTGGAAAATGGTGGTTATGCTTAAGCAGAATTCGCGCTGCTAGCACGTCTCCCAATTTGGTCTAATGGAACTTGCTGCATTTACTTTCTAACAACGACTCAGGTTCGATTCCTGCAGGATACATTCAGATGACCTTTCATCAGAAAGACGGATCAAAACCCGCTTGATTTTTGATTTCGTGTTTTCTACGGTTGAATTTTACCTATTGCCAACCTCATGATTAAAATGAACCCAATTTTCCGTAGTCACTTGAGCATGCCGACCCATGGCAGCATCTGGGGGTATTCAGACGTCTGCTACAGGCGACGAGGCCGTACACTGACGCGTCGCAGCGTCTCGAGTCGGGCAAACGTGACATTCCCACTGACAGAAACATGACGGCTACATTTGAAGTCGAAAAATACGTCCTATCCACGAGTTATCACAAACCCACCTGGCATCTTCCGAGTAATAATTGAGCAATTGTAACCGTTGCGGCAATCGACTGGCCCTACTTTACGAGGCTGCTTCTGCTGATGAGTTCATGGCGTTCGGTGATGACATCGAGGAGGGAGCATTCGATCTAGCACCGACTATCAGCAGCTGACGCAAGGTGGTCGTTCGCACTCACTGTGCTCATGCCCCAGATGAGATCCCCTGTTACCAGCCGCGAACAGCATCCCGGCCGGACTCGTTGGAAAGGCCGAACCAGGGTTGTGTTTCACTGCCATCCGAAGTCAGCATGGTGTCTAGTGGCTGAGGAGTGGTAGAAACTTGCCGTAAATATAGACTGGCATCAGCATAGGCAAGCCAGGGACGATCTAGCAGGCGTCAGCTCGATCCCACGTGCACGAGGGCCCGGGATCACTTTGTACCACGGGGAATGGATATAGCCCTACCTACCCATGCACGGCTCTGGGCAAATCTGCAACCGTGTCAGGGCAAAGTACCACTGAACAAGAAATTCATGATATTTTGTTTGCGACAAACTTCGCCCCGACCTGAAAATGACTGCTCTCGCGGCGAGGGATCTAGGGTAGATCTAAGCCACGGCCTGTCTTATCGCTTGCTCAGCTGCAATCAGGGGTTGAAATATCTGGCCTTTAGATTATTGCCAATAGCTCGTTTCAATTTGCTGATTGATACTCATCGGGGAAATAGTTGTCTTTTTCCGTGGCCGTCGATTCTCGGCTTCTCTTCGTTATTCCGGATGCTCCGATGACTCGCTCGGTCAACAGTGAGGCCGGCTCATGGCCACCGACAAGCCTTCAGATCGGACGTGGAGCAGGAGGTTCATAGCCGTCAGAATATTGCGAGTCACTAATACATTGACTGTCAACCTTTTTCCGGAAAGGGTGATGCCGAAGAGACGAACTGAAAACACTTTGGAATTTTACCATGTGGTTAATCAGAGGGCATCAAGCCTTTCTGAATTGGACTCGCAAAATGCGCCAGGTGAAGTGGCCGTGTCAACAACGTCTTCAGAAACAACAAAGGCGCAGGCTTACTGGGAGTCAATGGTCCATCAGGTTGGTGCACCTGGCTTAGTTTCAAGGACGATGGGGAATACGGCTCGGCCGTGTGGGCTGCGATTTTGACACTTTAACTGCGACGAGAAAGATATATTAGCGCATATTCTGAATACCAGAAAACCACAATAGCCTCTGTGCCGAGACCCAAAATGCAACCCCTGGCCTTGGAAATAGACAGTGGCGATGATTAGGGTAACTTACCAGACATGGGCTGGCTCATGGTAAAACAATAGGCTTCATATACAGAGTCGTCAGCACAGGCTAACAACTCTCGAAATGGCCATAGTGATAGAAGCTTACTTTGCCAGCTACTACTGCGCGCGGAATTCGAGTTTGGTCGAGCTGGTTTGGTAGTGGATGGTTTCGATCTATGATAAACCATCAGTAGGTAGCTTATGGGGCTCTTAATTACTCACTTTCTTCGCAACCTGGTTGTATTATCGAGACCATTCCATTTCATTTGATTGAGTTCCCAGAGGAACAGAGACGGAGCTGATATTAAACATCTTCCACGTTAGCGTGGTCTCAAATGATCGGGCAACTAAACTTACCTGCCGTTAATAGATCTCAGTGTCGAGCATAGACGGACTAGGGGTGATACAACAGGTCAGTTTGATCACAAGTGCGTGTCAGTTCGGGGTCGGGTCAGTCCATACTGGAGGAGAGCAGCTGGCGCAGTCGAGAAGTGTTCGATATTCTTTGCTCTAGGATGACAAGTGAATATTTGAGAAAGACTACCCTGATGGCGAGGGATCGGGTATTTATATCATTGCAGCCGCCCATTCTACTTGCGTTGATGTAGTGATTGTTGCGAATTGTGGCGAATTGTGGCGAATTGTGAGGACACCAACACAGCTGACCCTCTAATTGAAGCTGGTTCAACATTTCATAATTGATTCAACGCAGTACTCGGGGGCATTCCATTTTTTTTCTGGTGCTTCAGTATATGAGAAACCCTTTCTTACTGTTGGCCTCGTTTAAACAGTCGTGGGGCTGCCGCAGAAAGGCATCGATGATGCGTTTCAACATTCACCACCACGGGCCCGTACGTTATTGCGACAAGTGGGGCGACAATTTATCAGGCAATTTCATTTCACTCACCGATGATGAGCGCGTTATTTTATTCAAAGAACGCCCCATCCAAATTTTACAAGCATCAAGCCGTGTTGCACTCCTGGCTACCTACTAGCCCAACCGCAGAATTATTCATGTTCATACAGCGTTGGTGTCTATCTTATCATATACTGTAAGAGTAAGATTATCACACCTTGTACAGTATTGTATGCGATAGCAGTCAGATACAAGTTACGGTGCGGCGTGGTCCTGTTTTGCAGAACCCCAATATGTATCACAACAGAGTCCCTTGTTCTCCCGCCTGATCTTGCCAACTCTCCTTTTCTTAGTTACATTTTCAGAAGCTCTGAAAATTAGAAAATGATATCAGCACAGTGCCTATGAGATTGCTGCTTCAAATCGGTCGTGACGTTGTAATAATCTGAAGTTACATCCATCCTCCCGTGTCAATACTCCACGAAAGAATGGAAGTGAACGGGCTGATTGTGTAGAGTAGCAGCTCTCCACAACTTATCTTTGGTTTAACACCCTGAATATACTCGGATATACAATTATGAATCGTTAAATAACTATCTCGTCCACATGAGAAAGCTAGAAACAAGCCTTATAGCCGTTTCACCCTCCTCCACTGACAAGCCACGTCATTGGGACCAACGGTATACTTGATTTGGCATTGATAATTTGAACTGGCTGATACTTTGGAATTATATTCTAATTTGATTCAGAGATGTACATGGAACCTTTTATTGCACATTACACAATGGACTGATTGTACATCGCCCACATGCTGGACCTTAATATCGTCAGATCTCCCATCATGTAGGCTCAAAACGTGGGAAAAATACCTCAAGTGAAATGACCCATACCTTTGAAATTGCGCCAAGAATAGCGGCCCCTAGCGATACAAGACCCATGTTTGATAGATGAGCTAAGATAACACGCAGAATTTTCCGGCCTTGGGTGGCGCCTTTGATTAACCAAAGGTACAGTACCATGCCATTTCACTGAGATGATCCAAGAAAAGCAGGAAGGGAGTGATGTAATGAATGTGATCTACCAGAAATGCCCCAGTCAATTTAACTAATACCTTTGACACCATAGAAGTCAAAAGCATATACTCGGCATACGACATGTGCTGATCGTTTTATGAATAGATTGTTGAGCTGCTGACAGTCGATGCGGAGAAACCGGGCCAGTACAGTACAGATAGATTAACTAGGAATAAAGCCGCACCATCGGAAATAATTTTCGCAGCATCTATTTGCAGAACAAAATTGATTAGAAATCAAATTGATTTTTCTGATATAAATAGCCTCACATATTGCTCCCGAAATAACATTTATGTGAATTGCAACGTATATAGTGGACGTCTTCCTTGGGTATTGCCTCTGCGACTGCAAATAAGTCAGGTTTGCATCAAAGAGCCAAAAAAGGGGGAAAATGAAAAGAATACTACAAGTCTCCCACCTGAAATGACGATGAACAAGATGTGAACCAAGGTTCTTATGTAGCCCCTGAATCAATCGCTTTTCTAAGCCCATAAGCCGGTCGTTTGTGCTAAACATTGTCACAATGACTTTCATCTCAGAATAAAGCTCCGGGACGGATATATTTCATCAATAAATGCCCAAACTCACCAGCTACTAAAAGGATCGAAGAACTAGAGCCTCTGTCCGAGACACTCAATAACATAGGCCGTAAGTAGATGTGAAGTCTAGTCTTCTGACAAAAGAGCAGTGGCCATCAGGCGGTTAAGATAAAATGTTGACGATATAGAGTGCAGCGACAAATCCATGTGTGAGGAAACTTGATATTCAATACCCTGTGCTTTCAATGGCTTGGTCTTATCATACCTCACAATTAGTTAGCAGTTGGGTCTTGGGATCCGTCAAAATCTGGGACGCAGTTATCAGTCAATGCGCGCGGATACATTGATCACAAAAATGTCAAACCATTCGCGCCCGTAGATTACAAAAGCTAGTTATTTAGCAGACTGGGGAGCTTGTGGTGATTGGCTTGGAAATCCAACATGGGAACTAAGATTACAGACCATATAAAATACTTGGGGGTTATATTTTAAAAGCCAGCTGGTCTAACAATCCTGGTTCTTAACTGTGAGCTTCGGCCGGCCGGTGGATAAGTGGGCAACCTCGGACAGCTATGTCTAATGAAATGTCTAGGGTTCCTGGAGCCCGAGATCAATCTTAAATTCAAGCTTTGACCCGTGCCGAGAGAGAAGATTCCTGCAAAAAAGCCATGCCCGCCGCGAGGAGGAATCCTTAGTGGACATCTCACCTATCCACCGGATAGCCTTTTCGACCTTCTCGCCGATGCCGATAGTAACACGGGAATGCAGCAGATCTTGATTGAATACCGCAATCAGGAGAACACTGGTCGATTGCATGATATAGTGGAGGACACACCACCATGGAGTGACCCTGTATAGCCAGGCTACGTCCACCTTCTCGGGCAAGAGGTTGATCATTTGCATCGCCACTTGAACGCATGTGGTCGCCAAAGTTTCGCAGACAGACCCGGGTTGTGGCAACCGAGTAAGACGGCGAAGACAAGGCTGTAAGATTATTAACTTGGTGGTATAGAAACGGAAAGCCAGGCCGATGCGTTGAAGTACAAATGGCTGAGCTTCAGCTAACTCTGTGGCATGGAACTCAACTGGCAGATGTGAGAACCAACTGTCGGCATCGTTATTGAAAGTTGAAATCGCTAGTTCAATCTCAAGCCACGATCGTCGCGCCGTTCTGGGAGCGTACAAAGTATTAATAGCCTCTCGTAAAAGGAATGACAGGTCTACCATGTATAAAAGCGATGGCATGCTATGAATAGGAGTAAGAGATGGGACATGAGCAGATTGCTCATCTGCCACTTCTGTGTTCGACCCATACTGTGCTGGATTTGTGTGATCCAATGTGTCCTCTCGCGCTTGTGCTGCGGGATCCTCAGCAAATACAGAGGTTATAAGGTTATTCCGGGATGCTTGATTGGTAATACACTGCACCACACGCTGAACTCCAAAGTCCTCTTCAGAGGGAATAGGCAGCGGTAGTGTGCAGTTAGATCGTCCGATACAAGGCGGCTGACCCATAATGACGCATAGGACCGTGTCCAACATGAATAATGCCCACCATGCCCGGTATCGAGTCTCGGGAAAGGCCTCAATAGTATCGTTCTGGCTACAGTTGAGTCCCATCGCCATAGCCGATCGGATTGCGACCGCAAGAAGCCTTGATGACCTGAAGAGAAGGAAAGACCAGAAGTGAATATAAATTATTAGCAGCTATATTTAAGTTCACATGACATACCGATGGACCTGACCAATCGAAAGGAGGTAGAAGGCAGTCAAAGCCTCGATCTGCACTTGCTGCAGATTGAGATCGTCTGACAATATACTGCCGCTCATGCCCAACCACCATGAGCGCGAAAAGTACACCGCATGTTGATTATGTTTCCCGAGAGACCGTTCGTCCACAAGTAGCGAATGTCTCGCTGAAATGGCCATTATGAGGTTTAAAATTGCCAACCATCGTTTCTCGGGTCGCATATTCCGGTTCGAGTAGAAAGAACGGTATTGGTTCAAGAATGTCGTCTTCTCGATAAGTGGGAATGTTGAGTGTACGGTCTGGAAATAGCCGTTGACTAGTCGGTCCGCAATGTGTTGGTGAGGGTATCCTAGCAGATCCACATCCTCGAGGGGGGCGATATTCGACTCATCTTGAAAGTAGTTCACAGAAGATATGGAAGAGGACTCGACATTTCCTCCATCAGGAGTTGCTTTACCCGAGTCGAGGTCACGGATGAGTCTGTAAAGCCACACTCTCTCTGAATGCTCACCCACATAGCCCATAGCCTGCACTCGTTCGTCGCAGTCGAAATCTTCTTTGGTATAGTCTATACCTCCCAGACAGGTCGCATTTTTGACGTCTGCGTGAGCAGAAAAAGAGCTCGAACCCCTCATTGGACCTGGAAATGGTAAGGCGCAGATGCGATACGCAAAGAAAACGAGGTTTTTGGCTTGGCTGAGTAGTTGTAGTTTGGATCGCACTCATAGGAATACTCTTGCTGCAAATGGAGAGTAGATAGAGTGGCGAAGAGATGTCTAGGGGTCATTGGGTGGCCCCGATGAGCAGAGATATGGGTTTGTCAATAGTGGTCACGTGTGGTGTGTAAACAAAGCAAACACTGTTGGGGCGTTGGAGGCTCGGATATTCATCCCGCCAGTTCACGCTGGTGTGGTAAGTACGCTTGGACAAATTACGCCGCGCCAAATAATAACAGAAGATGGTCCATATTGCTGCCCGCGCAGTCATGGATGGAAGGATGCCCAAGAGTAATATGCAAGCGAGGGCCAAGGTCTCAGGCGGTGGTGTTATGGCTCCAGCCCTTTCTTTCATGCCTTATTCACAAGATATGCAATCGAATTGAATTGGAGATTTGACTCAAGAAAATATATCTACCAACGCAGCCCTGTCCACAGCAACACCGCGGCTCCAGGACCACCGGAGATAAGTAAAAGTGAATACTAGAACTTAGATCTCAACATTAACTTTCGATGGCAATTTTGACCCGTGCAGTGAGAGAATATCTATACAGACAAGCCAGGCTCGTCGTGAGGATGAATCGTTGATGGAAATCGCTCGCAACCAGCGGATGGCCTTCTCGACCTTCTTAGCGAGGACGGTGGCCTCGGTGGATCCCCGTTGACCTTGTGCAAAGAGCTCGATCAGGAGGACGGTGGTGGACTGCATCATATAGTGTACGACACACCACCAGGGTGAAACCCCGTAGAGCCAGTTCACATCCGCCTCATCGGGCAGCATATCTAGCATCTGGCATGCGGCTTGCACGCACATGGATGCCATGGTATCGCACACGGTGCTGGAGGTGGCACCGGGGGGTTGGCGGGCGAGGTGGCGGAGGCATGGCTGGGTGATGACTAACTTAGTGGTATAGAAGCGGAAGCCTAGGCTGATGCGTTGGCGGATAAAAGTTTGGTTTATTTCTAATGCCCCAAAGTGAAACTCTGCTGGAAGACGGGAGAGCCAATTGTCAGTACTACTGTTAAAAGTAAAGATAGCCGCCTCCATCTCTGGCCAGGATCGCCGCGCGGTCCCGGGTGCGTATAGGGTTTCGATTGCTTCCCGTAGCAGAGACGCCAAGTCTACAGCGTATAAGAGGTATAGGGACGTATTTGATATGTGAGCGTTTGTCATTCCTTGAGTAGTCGGATCGGTCCCATTGCTTGATCCACAGTTTGTTGAGCGACTGCGTTCTACCGTAGCCTCGCTCGGCCCTGGGGTCATGAGGTTATTAGAGAGTAAGGATGTCAATAAAATTTTTCGAGCGTCCTGGTCGGTGATAAGTTGTGTAACTCCTTCCTCCCAAAAGTCTTCTTCTCTGCGGAGACGTGGAAGGGGAGTAGTGCAGAAAACCTCGTCGGTGCTTGGTGGTCGGCCAGCCACCACACACAGCACAGTATCCAATATGAACAACGCCCACCAAACGCTGTACCGAGTCTCTTGTGATATATAAGTAACGCCGTCACTTTCTATACGAAGATTGAGGCCTATGGTCACCGCTGACCGCATCGCGGTCCCGATGATTCGCCACGACCTAAGGGAAGAGAACCAGTTAGGCAAACCTATTCAAACAATGGGATAACCAAATAGGCCCAATGACGTACCGATTCACTTGACCCGTGGACAGAAGATAGAAAGCAGCTAGGCCTTCCACCTGCACCTGCTCCAGACTTGGATGATTCAGCAACGCAATATCGCCCATGCTCAGCCGCCATGCCCGGGCAAAGTATACCACATGGTCAGTGAAGTTTCCTTGAGGTTGTCTCTGGGCTAGCTCAGAAAGTCTCGCCGCGACGGCCAAGACCAGATTCAGCACAGCGACCCATCGCTTTCCGACTCGAACGTTGTTTTTCGAATAGAAGGACCGGTATTGGCCCATGAAGGCCTCCTTGCCAATGATGGGAAACTCGGGATGCACAGATTGGAAGTAGTCTTCAAGGAGTCTGTCCGCAATCTGCTGGGGCGGTCGGACTAGTAGGTCGACATCTTCAAGGCTTGTAATTATCGTCGTGTCCTGGAAGTAGTTGACGGATGATATCGAAGGTCGAGCAAGGCTATCTCCGATGGTTTTGTTGTCTTGATCGAGATCGCGTTTGAGTCTGTACAACCATGCCATCTCCGAGTGTTCCCCCACGAAGCCCATCGCCTGCGACGCTAGATCGCGGTTGAAGTCCTCCTCGACGTGGGCTACGACGACCAGAGAGTTCTCCGTCCTCCTCCATACGAGATGCGAATGATTCTGGGTCCTGACCAGAATCATTCTGACAACTATACGTTAGAAAAGGGATAATAGCAATTAGGGACGGAGAAGGGCGGTAACTCGTACTCTGACTAATTTGCCGCTAAGCGTCTCGTCAACGCGCTGGGCCAACGAGGAATCCAGGTGGGGGGTTCAGTTCTTGTAGCAAGTCTTCGTAAATATGAACCTGCGCGGTCAGATCCTTGATTTCGCTACAACTCGAGTTAGATGGGGGTGGCCTTCTGCGAAACATTGAACGCACCGGAGCATCTTTTCTCGTTTCCGATTGCCGTAGGAACACCAGATGTGAACATCCTGGCAACGTTGACAGGTGGGACGGTGTCCACTGCATTTGGTCTTTTGCTTGCGGCAGTTCTCGCATGCTCTACCGACGCGGCTGCTGGCAACATAGTTACCAGTGTATACAGAACGGGGGATGGGAACTTTCGAATTCAAAGGGCGCTCGCGCGGGTTGGGCCCCAGAGGCTCGCCGCCAGGAATGGGATCGATGTTGGTCTGGAACACAGACGGAGACGGCTGCACAAGTCCAGGAAAGGCATCATCGCAGCTGAATGGTTCTAACTGGTTTTCCAGGGTTTCTAAAGCATATTCGGGATCAGACGGGTGAGGGTGGGAATTGTAACTCATTGTGTTGGGAAGGGGGCTAACTAGTTGGCACGCTTGTGAGAATGTGGGAAAGGGCAGATAGCAAGGACCTTTATAGCCTAGCGTATTTAGAAGATCAAACATAAAAAATAAATAAATAATAAAATAAAAATATCGTAGAAAGTAGTAGCCCCAAGGGCACAAAGACCAAGCATAGTCTCCTCTTCCTGTTGCTTTTTGAACTTCCCAGTGAATCCAAGCGTGCATAGGCAAAGTGATACGCACCAGGGCATGGTGAAAGGAAGCATCGGATGGTCCGCGACATGGGACGCTATGGTATGCTGGATATGAGAGCCGTGTCTTTTTGCCACCGATCCCCAGCCAACGCCAAGTCATATAGCACCCAACTGGGATATTTTCCCTGTGCCTGTGGTGTGCTCTAAGGAGCTTGGAAATGCACACCGTGTTGCTATGTATTCACTTTTTCCCTGCGACTCTTGCTGTCGCAGAGAAATTGGGCGGTAAATAACGATGATCGGAGTTGGTCCAGTAACGCAGCATCGAGTAGCCGCTAATGAAAAAGTCGTGTTGCTGTGCTCCTGTGATTTTCTAGGATCCTATAAACCTGGAAGTGGTCGAAAATCGATTAACTTGAAGATGATATTCTCTGTTCTTTTTCGGCTGATAGGTTTGTTGCGGTATTACATGACCCTGATTTGACGAGTCCGTAGCCGAGCCGACCCAGTCGGGATCTTCACCAGCCCTGTATGGCTGCCCTGTACTTAGCTTCATACAGCATCTTCAAGGGTGGTCTCTTGCCAGCTGAGGGCCCAAAAAAGCTCTGTAGTAAGTGACGAGTATTTCTTGACTTTCTGATGAGGCACGTCTCGCCTCGTTCCATTCCCGGGGCGTATTCATGAACCAGGGATACAGCACATCCCCCCTAGGACCGTGGTGTTGGCGAAAGTCATGACAAGCTTCGCGATCTTCGTCACTTGGGTCTGATCATCAATCACTGCTGCATAGCGGATCTCCGGGCCTAACTGGCCCTTCGTCTTCCCTTAGATAATGCTGACTGTCGCAGAGAAAGACTGATTTACGACCGAGCGACTCTTATCCCCCGACACATTGAAGGGACATAGCCCCCGTCCAAATCACGGCCCAACCAGCGAGCGAGTCCTCCGGAACGAAAACGAATCTCATACCGCACAGTTTTTTCCGTGACACCATCAAGTTGCTATGGAGTTGCGAGTCTACTCAGCAAACCGGTGGGGTTGAGAGGCAATCTCAGGCTACAGGCCGGTAATCTTGAGGTTGAGTGTCACACAACGCTCCTTTGGAGGACGAGACACCATGACTGGTGTGAATGTAGAAAGTGGTTATTAAGCTTGGAATGCTTGTGCATTTTGCAATCAACAGGATCTAAAAAGGTTAGGGTTAATGGCCGTTGAGATTTGCCTGTCGGCGTCACGCCGAGTATTTGTCCATCAGTAAGTCAATTCCCCTTTCTGTCTTCTGTCATTCATAAACTGCCCGACTGAAACTGAGATATCCGGTCACAGGATGCGTCATGCGATCCTCGTCACCTTGCAACGCGATCCGATCGCGATCCGATCGCGATCCTCCATCGCGACACGACGAGAGCGCAATACTTCTCTACCTTTAAAGCGGCCCCGGCCGTCCCAAACACATCCCCTGATACAAAATCCCTTCTCCCGTGCACCTAAAACGCCAATGATCACATTTGGACTGATAATGCATTGTGGAATGGTACTTCGTTGGCCACTTCGATGGCTCGCGGTCTTGCGACCTCGGCGACACAGCGTTGCAGCACCTTATCCTTTCTGTTGACCGGAGCTGCACGTTTGGATCCTTGAGTGATATCTGTCAATACTCTATTCCAGTCTGATCAGCCAGAGGGACCATGTGCCGCTGTGGCGACAAAATGGGGACGTTTGAGCGTTGATTCCCAGAAGATCCAGAGCTATACCATATTGCCTGTATTCCATCAAACGCCATGATCTTCCTTCAACAAACCCGGTGCTTTGAATGTGACCGCGTTATGAAAGCAGACACGCTGTGCTATTTGGATGAATGTTGTCGAAACAGCCTGAGCCGCCACTGAGTTACATCATCAGTCATTGCTTTGAACCTTCATTTATCAACGCCTAACCACAACAGGACAACTACTTGCCGGGGCCCAATAAACGTTGCAACAAGTCTCTTTGGTCTTTCCAGGTTGTTATCCTCTGTGGTTTCGAGGTTACTAGGTGGCGGTCGTCGCGTTATTCCGTCTGTCTCCCCTCGCCGCGTGAATTTGCATCGAGGTGAACATGGGCAGTCAGAACCGCTCAACCTATACCTAACAGGATGGATCTTCTTGACGGGGCATAGTGAACCGGCATCCAAACTACCTGTCCAGTCAAAGTCATTCGTTGAGTCAATGTTATTTGTCGAGGTTCCAAGGGGGCGGGTTCGCGGCGCTCCGGTCAGCAGAGGGGCAACTGGAGTAGGTGCGACCGAGCTCCATAAAGCTTCGGTAGCCTCGCTGGGATGGACCTACGAGGACGCAATGATAGTCAGCTTGATCAGAAATCCATTCTGGTCACCAGTGTGGCAAAATGAAGCGACGTTGCTTCTCGGAAGACGGGTAGCATTGCAAAGTCGACGAATGCTACGGGCACTCGTCCGGAGGAAAGTCCGCGCTCAGCCATCCGCATGCTAGCAAAATTTGGTCTGCGCGTGTTTCTCTCCGGTTCTCAGCTGTGGCAGACTACGCGTTTCCAGAGCCTCAACCTCTCACATTTCCAAGGCTCCTTAAGGCGGTGGTTTGGGTGACGATGGTGACTCCAGCCGTTATCCCGGGCGTACTGACTATAACCTCTATTCTTGTTGGCCCATCGCGAAGTGCGGAGACTCCGAACTACACGGCACTCGCCTAAGTATTTCAGAGCTTTCACTTTGTCATGTTGTTCCAGAATTGAGCTGCTTGGTTTCCTTAATGCCAATGACGGAAACCACCGGCTAACAAACCAAGTTGCTAGCACTAGACTTGCTTTCTGAGATGATGTTCCACCAGAGCTGACGCTGCAGGTATTTCCACTTTATTTTGCCTATCCTACGTCCAATCCCTCCTTTCCCAGCACCTCCGTGGCAATATTCCCCTCATTCGACGCTGCAATCTGCCCTCGGAACCTTCGTTTGTCAGACCTAAATCCAGCTTTTTCTCCAAAATATTGGTTTATGGGCTGCGTACGAAGTCCTTTCATGGTAAAATATCTATCAATAAATCTATACAGGAGTCAAGGAATATTTTCTACAGAGGGCTCTCAGCCTAGGATCAAGTATATCTGTAAGGCTGTTGAAGATAAGATTTTGGCGAATATTCGCAGATAAGGTAATTATCGGCAGTGTTCTTTAAATAATTCACGTCTCGAATCTCTGTCAGACTGCGATTGAAACCTGGAGTTGCACTGAGAAAGAGGGGATTTAGGGCGGCTGACGGTAAAACCACTCAGCCGGGATGCATTTATGACCCTTGATGGTTGGAATGTAAGACAGTGCAACTCCAGGTTTCAATCGCTACACTGATCATACATATCTCTTACATTGAAATGGGGTATTTTCAATCGCAGTCTGACATAGGCGACAGGTGCAGAGATCACCAAACACACCATCAAGTTCCCCATTCACGTAGTTGATGGAAGATCCAGAGGCTAGTGTAGTCAAACAATAATTGGCACTCAACCCAAACGAATGGTTTCATTGTCCGTCGGGGGGATGGTCGAGTCATTGGGATCATCGAATGTGGCGTTCGTTGTTTTACCAATTCAACTAGTCACACCCTTCCAGGATTCTCGTTAGTATAGTATCGTAGATATAGCTCCAGAAAAAAAATGAGACTAGAATAATTATATATTTCATCAAAGCTACTCTTAAGGGAACATAACTACCTATGTGTACCACTATTAGTACCGGTCCAAGGAACTAGAAATCTTACCCTTCAGTGGTCTTTTTAGCTCAGGTGTAGGTTGCGCGCCACCTTGGTATATAAAATGGAGACGCTGTCATTCAATAAATGGGCATGTTTCTGAAACAAATATCTCTTCAAATCGGCGTATGCATGAGCTAATCATCAGATAAGCCGACTCTGATCCCTTCTTTTTCTGAAAAGCCAACTTCGGGCGTACCGACTAGGGGCCAGGAGCTTTGGTAGAACTCCAATGCCTCGATTTCCTGCACCTTCATTGTCTTCCCTGATTCTCAGCAGCCTAGCATCAACCACACTTGTCCTGACCGCCCCATCCCATCGATGTAGAGACATCCTCGCACACGCGTTCTTTCAAAATGGAGACGTCAATTGCACGGCTACTGACACTTCCATAGTTTGGAGCCGTCAAGGATTGTGATGGCTTCAGTAGGTAGCTGAATAGACCCGCGTTGGGAAAGCGATTGAATGGCGTAGATGGTTTCAGCCATTGGCTTGGACTTCTGGCCCAGGGCTATCCCAAACCGACAGAATTCAATAAAAGCGTGCCTCACCTTATTACTACTCTTACTACTCTCCTGGTGATGCACCAGGGTGTAGAAGACTGCCTGAACGATATCAATCACTTGGCTAGGAATGAGCCAGATTCCATACGACTGACGATGGATACGAAGGCACTGGGCTATCTCCTCGGCCTGGGCACACCATTCTTGCTGCAACTGAGCAATCATCGATCCTTGTTGGTCACGCTCGATCAACATTTCGACTAAGTGCATCATCGCGTGAAGGCCTTTGACACTTCGTTCAAATTCAGCTCGGATACATTAGAAAGGGGCCAGTAAATTGCTCACCGTAGGATCAGAAGTTGGGGAATTGGCTCCTTTCGAGTCTGCGATGCATCTCGCCAATCCGCCAACCACTGTTGCAAACGGTTGTATGGGTCCTCTACCCTCGCACACAATGCAGTGGAGCTCATACTTAGCTCCTCATCGTCCAGGAGATCTTCAACGTGTAACATGATATCAGTCATCTCGGCAAGGCCTTGTCGGATTTGAGGAAGATGAGCTCGCTTGGCGGCATACATGATCTGGTTCGATCGTGGATAAGGTATCCAGTCAAAGTCATGGTCACCCGCAACGTCTATACTGGATGCAGGCTTTGACAATGTTGCTACCTTCTGCAACTTCATTGACATTTGTCTGTAAGATTGATCAGTGCTCGCTCTCTTCTCTGCTTTGGCACGACCACTAACTGATTCAAACTGAAGATCCCCCAGGCCGTGATCGCCCGAGCACATTCCATATCAGAAGTCATATTCTCTCTACATCGATACTTAGCTCTTGGCAGCATAAACAACCCAATGTCATGTGCCAGTTGTATGGCCTGTTGCAGCATCAACCAGCTGAGATTCGCCTTTCCTTGGTAAGACAATCTGCCATAATGTTAGCATTCACATCAGAAACCACGACCGATACGTGTCTTCTAAAGGATCACATACACACAACACATCATGACAAGGGCTTGGATGCTTGATAATGCTGAACGCCCCTCTTGAGCTTTCCACAACTTTTCGGCTTCGGAGAAGAAATTTCGTCCACGAGAGAAGGCATTTTCTGGATTGGAAAATACCCCCCGGGCTGTCAGAATAGACCTGTTGGGCATTAGAAAAAACCTAAGAATGGGTAGAATAACAACTGAGGCCGCATACGCTTGCCATTGAAAGGAGACTGTTTACTAGGAGGGCGAACAAAACTCCGAATCCAGGTCCCCCCGTCTCATGTGCTCGAGGAAAATACCTTGATCAACAAATTGTGCACACGGATGATCCCACGTGAAGTACAGGGAGACCAGGTGCGACACAAGATCATTGTCATCGGTGGCCTCCGTCCACGGTTTTGCCGGCACCCTGTACGGCGGGATATCACAGAGACTTTCCAGAGTTATTCGTGCGTATGGATCTAATATGGCCCGTGGAGATTCTATGTGACCATCATCTTCTGGAGATGGGGGCACTAGATCGAGTTTTGAAGAGAGTCGGGATTTTGCCACGAACTGCTCACTTAATGGTGACCCAAGCCGATGGCTTCCATCCCTTGACATCGTTGAATTACTGGTAGATGAGGTTTTTGAATCGGGAAAGTTTGTCACGGGACTTCCCACGGCATGAGCTATGTCCCTTCATCGGTACATTGTTTCTGATTATCGCAGTGACCTCGCTGAGCTGGTCTGTATTTGCCAGCCGGATTGTCGACAACAATGAATCGAACAAGTCTTTGTAATCGGATAACTCTTGTATTGTCCGCTTCACGGCTACTTTCCGTCTTAGATCGCGGCTTGGATGGAACTGACATTCATCTTCGGAGCCAGCGTTTAAACAAGCTTTACACGGCGATGGAAGTCCTGAGCACTATATCTAACAGGCAACGATTAGCCATTGATCCGAGTACCATATTTGATACCCTCAAGAGTAAACTTCACAGCTTGTATCTGGCGACAGGCCACTTGCCTTCCTCTTTGCTGCTTTGCAAGCTAGACAGGCTGTGGGATTTTTCTTTGGCCGGCGGGTGGCCATCGATGATTGTGCAGAGAATATGGGCAGTGGACCGGGGGCCAATTGGGGGAGCAGCTTGGAACTGTCACAATGGCTCGTATTTAGGCCCAGCGAGTGACTTATCTCGTGGGTCGATGGTTTCTGCGCCATCGTATCTATCGCAGCTAATCGAGAACCAACATCATTTGACCCCATAAGGTGATGGAGGCTGCAAGAGACGACAGTCAGTCTAGTGTACCGGTCGTCTTCGAAGACGCAAAAAGCGAGGCATGCTGACAGCTGACAGCACCGCATGGCACATACACGATCGAATTCAAAATTCCAGGAACTCGCCGATACAGTATCAGAAGGGAGTGAGGGTCATCTCATCGGGTTATTAATCGTCAAGGTGCGCTTGCTGGATTTTTCTTGAAGCGGGACTCGGGAAAGCAACTGGTCTGAGAGTTAGTCGACACGATCAAAGGTGGCATGCAGGTGATAATTGTTGTAGTTCAGAGGTATGAATTGAGTTATTTATTCTTGAGGCGATACAGGAGGCTATATATACAACGAGAAGGTCAAGTTGATTTGCAATCAACTTGATTCTTCGTATATGCAACCCGGGATTATTTCCGATGTTGCGGTTTTGTTCCTGACCTGCGCAAGCCTCATATCACAACAATAATAACCAAGAAATCTAGGGGCTCACGCTTCAGCAAACACAAGGGAGGTTCTACAGCTTTCACACAACCAGGGTGGCTCGGTGGCCCAGGACTGAACGTCACAATGATTAGAGAACGACGATCCAGCCGAAACATCCCCGAAGCTGTGAGACGCCTCCTATGTTGAAGTGGAGATTCCAAAAACTAGCGGCACTCGACAAGGATCTCGGAAACAAGACCCACCAAATGAAAGGATGAGGTCTCGTTTAGCCCTTGGGATGATGGCCACAGTACCCACCCGGAACTCAAGGCTCCAGACTTGAGGGAAAGGTTGATGTCCTATCGTTCTACCCTGGACCCACCCCTAACGATGATCATTCCTCCGTCCTCTCGCAGGGCAGCGCAGGACACTCGAAATCTCTACTTTACAGTATCCTTCCTTTGCCTGATTTGGCATATGCATGTTGACTTTCAGTATGAGACCTGGTCGCGCAACGAGGCTGTAGGATCTACTGCAACGCCATCTACTTGCCATTTAACCCATCCATTCCCAGCCCCTCGTCAAAAAATGACCGATCAATTGACCGCTCGATGCACCCTAAAGTGTAGCCTCCACACGTGTGCGTCACCGTGCCACGGTTATGACGAACTGTTTGTGGCGATTCGACCAGATGCATCGTCGAGTTCGATGGATCTGCTAGCGATTGACACTGGCCGCCTGCTCTTAAATCACTCGACTCCACCCCCTGACATCAGGCTATCAAATGTCAAAAGTACAATGTTATGGAAGTTTCAATGTGGTTGCAAGCTTGGAGCTGCTACTTGAATCATTAAAACAAGATCTGGCCCCGGGAAAGTTTTCCACCGCACAAGGTAGGTTACGAAAATTCCCATCAACCAGGTTTATGGGAACGACCACAAGTTGGCGCTCTGCTTCACGAAGTAGTACACGTGATACACGGCATGTACCGGGGAGAAACCGTATCCCCGGGGGGGGGGGTATGCGGCACGGTAGTTTTGGTCAGTACGTGGCGCCTGTATTAAGCGACAGTACGGGAGGATTTTCCTTTACGGAACCAGACCAGACCTACATCTCCGCAACCTGTAATGATCTGCAATATCTGCCGTACTGTTGACCGTCGACCTGCAAGGATTGAACTCTCTTCCGGCTGTGGGCACTTTCCATCATTCCGCTGTCGATTGGGCGGTCCACATCCGTCCAATCGGATGCGACGTTCCGTTGATTTTTTGTCTTGGCACTTTTCTTGATGGTGTGTTATGCAGCGCGCTCGCTGTGGATTCTGCGGAACTGTTCTGCTTACCTGGAAGGATCGAGTTGATCACCTTGCTGGCCATTTTAAGAATGGAGCGAACATGGCCCAATGGCAGGGCGATTGGGGCTTTGAGCCCTGGATCCAAGAGCGCGTGGAGAATGCAAACCCTCCGTATATGATTGGCTATGAATACCGTGAGCAGAGCGGTAGCCCCGTATGGGGCCGTCTTCCCATGTGTGGCAGATGCGATCCATCGTTGCTGGTCGCTCTATGTAACCACGAACCGAATTGTAATCTGGGTTCAGTCCTATCTTAGAATCCCTTGAATCACATTGGGACTACTTTCCTTGCAAATTGATCACTAGCAATAGATAGCAGCCTGTCAGTGCCACAGAGCCAGGATGAAATGAGGATAAAATCCAGAGGAGAATCAACTAATACTTCGAGATTCCATGACAGCGGAATGGCACGCACGATTGGCCGGCTTTTTGCCCGTATCTTATAAAAGGCTACGTGGCATAGAAGAAGGTAAAGCAGGCACGGGCCCGCTTGTTCCGATTGGGAGAATATACCCAGGTTGTTGGTAGAACATCGAAATGAGAAAAATAAACGGAGGGCTTTGTGAAGGGTTCAAAATTTTCCACCTGCTATCATTCTTCCTCTTTCTCTTTGGGCTTTTCAACGGGGTTTCACTCGTGGTCGATTCTGGAAGACAAGGTGGCCAGAATACAACAAATCAATTAATTCAATCCTTGTAAGGCCGACCGTTTTATCCTTCTCCCACTCTCATGAGTCTCCGAATCTGCGTCTCCCAGCTCGACATAATTCCCATCATCCATTTTGATTCATTATTCTCATTATTCCTAAGTGCTGACCATCTTCGTCATGAAAGCATATGCAAGGGCCCGACCCGGAAGCACATATCGTCCACAAACCTATCTCGCGTAAACTTCTCGCGGCCAACTCTGCGACAATCCAAATTTCTTGATCTCTCTAGCATCGCCACAGCCAGTGAATCAGCACCAAATACCTAGATATGGCAGCTCGATTCGCTGCCAGCGATCCTGGCAGCAAAGAAGGCGTAGCCGGAGACAAACTCAGAGGAAAAGCCTCGCTGGCGGCATCAAAGTAAGCAGCCCCAATCTTCTATCTTGTATACAGTTTGGTTCTTTCTATCCCTTTTTACCACCTACCTTGGCCTCAGATGATGTGAGGGTCTTTTTTTCCTAAATCAAAGGCTGAACCGGACCTGGATTTAAAACAGCTTCGGAGCAACCGCAGCAGACAACCAGACTTGCCCCTCTGACCATATAGAGACAGAGTTTCAGCACTATAATTTCCTTCTCATCCAGTTGCTAAACATTATCTCGCATGGCGAAGACGAGGATGTGTCCCGCATGATTTCCGTCATCCGCTCGGGCGCATCCCATCGCCAGATCTTCGACTTTATTAAACAACAACCCCGACAACCAAACGAGACGAAATAGGTCATTTATGTCTTAAAGCATGCACTTCCCTGGGTCTATAAGAGACCATTATGATGAGGTAGGGATGAGAGTTGGAGGCGAGAGACCAAGATCAAGTGATCTTGTAGCAATCGTGGGAGCGAGAGATACCGCATGAGTATCATGTCAACGAGGATCTGTCTTCGTAACCCAAGTTGTATGTTTAATAAAGCTAGGCTAAGCTTTATTTCTTCCTTCTGAGTATCAAAAGGTGGTTTCGAGTCATCTGTCTCATATTGAGTGGAATTCGCGAATCAAAGTCAGTTCCGGCCCGGTGTATGGTAAGTCGTCCTGTCTCGCGTTCTTTTCCGAGCAAAATGCCAATAAATAAAATGCCGCTCTTAAAAGCAATACCACTATCCAAAAGATAACAGTGAGCCATTCCGGTTTCCCTGGCTCCGGTTCATTGTAACAACCTTGCCCGAGAATCACCATTTATCAAATACGAGAATATCTTGCATCATACACAGCGAGAAGTTTTCTGACTACCCTGCTAATTGAAAATTCCCCCCTTTTTCATTTCAAAGATAGAACTTCTGGTGACAGTGCCTGATGCGTGGACTGTATCTATTTGGGGGTGAGAAAAGGAGACCTGAATGGAAAGGAGATCCCAACGTTGTCTGCAAGTGAGCGGAAGTGCAGGAAATGCATATTCGGAGTCCAAATAGGAACTTTTGAAGGACAACAAAGAATATGGGTACTCTAATAGGAGTATACCACCTCATCTCCCTAAATCGTAAAAGCAAGGTGAGAACGGCGTGTTTTCTGCAGATTTGGGCCGGTATAGTGAAAGTCGAAAACATACCCTCCGACACACACCGTGCTTCACGGTCCGTGCCTGAACCACGTTAAACCGCGTGAGGTTCTCACTAAAACCAAATTACTGTTGAAACGTATCGTAACTCCAACGTATTAATTTCAGCGATGAATAGAGTAATTTTAAAATACTGTAAAAACCTTCGCAGGCTTTAAACATGGTTGGAAGTAACGCTGAGAGATCTGGCAATCTAGCAAAATCGCCGCCGAGCTGAGTTTCCCTTCATCCATTGACTGGCACGACGACACTCAAAGTCGCGTTAACTTCCCAGAGAAGTTCCCTGGAAGGATGCTCTTATTCTTCACGCCGATTATTGCTCACTGCTAGCTCCGGTGCTCTCTCCCTTTGACTGACATACGACCTAGCCGTGTCTGGATTATTTGGTGACGCGAGCCCGCGCCATGTCAAGTTTACACCTTCATAAGTCAGCATTGAGCACCAATCACCGGTGAGAAGAAAACTTGTTTCTGCCTGGTGCAATACCACTGCGTCATTGTTCCCGAATCTCCGGGGATAGTAAGTATGTTTCCTGGCCCCGCTTCGTTTCCGCAAATTTCGTGAAATTTAACAGCACTATACCGTCTACTCTTACAGCACGATTTGCTCTAATGCTGAGGCTTACTGTACGACGATCTCTTTTTGGAATCTTGTTTATATATATCTTGCTCTGTGTCAGTAATTGGGCTCGCCGAAAGCCCCATTCATTTATTTCTTCTTGTCTTTCCATCTCAATCCAGGTATGTTCATTTGAAGAGATCTTCTATTTCTTGTTACACTATTGAAGTCCGCATATAAGCTAACCGCTTTGATTCACAATAGGTCTCCCAGAGTTATCGAGATTAACGCGACGCAATAACCGCTACAGCCACCCAACTGGATCGTCTGCTAGCCTCTCTAGCCAAAGCCAGCATGA